CTCTTCTAATTTTCCCGCCATCGAAGATCAAGCATTCTCGAATCTCAATTCAATCGTCTTCTCTACCAATGGTTCGGTCTCTTGCCTAAACCCTAGTTTCTGCAAATTCAATTCTTATTTTCACCTTTAACTAGGTTTCGTGGCTAATACATTTTTAATCTCTCTCTCCATATGACGATTTGAGTTTGGTTTCAGTTCCGCTATCCCTAATAGTCTGATTTTATTTTTATATTTTTTTGGCTTTATAAACCTTTTGATTTGATGTCAATTGCATTTTTTTTTTGTGTGTAAATTATTCAACTGTTGAGTTTCAAATTAGCTTCTTATTTACAAGTTTGTATGAAGAATAAATACATTACTATAAGAATAATGAAATTCTTATAATATCTGAAAACTATATGATAAGATAATTCTATTTTATACACCAATTTATAATATTTGATGAAGTAAACAATTATTTTTAAAGAAGCCGATTTTGTAAAAAATCCTTTACGGTTGGGGATTTGAAAAAGGAAAGGGAAAAATTAGTTGAAACGTGAATAAAATATACATATATTTCCATTAATTTTACATATATTTTCCCTTTCTTTTTTCAAATCCCTTCCCAAATCTTCCAACCAAGACAGCGTTAAACTTTAGAAGGCATCTATTTCTTCCTTATGGTTTGACATTAGGCTGCATGTTTTAACTGATACCCATGATATAATTTGCTTTGTCAAACGTGCTTCAGGGGATGATTATGCAATAGGGTATCGGCTTCAATGTATACCTGTTTATTTTGTTGAGCTCTAATTTCCTTTTCAGAAGCAAAAGTTGTGTCTCCTCCTAATCTGTGTTTGGTTGAGGGATTTGAGAAAAGATTTGGAAAGAGAAAGGGAAAAGATATATGAAATTAGGTGAAATGTAGGTTTATTTTATTCACATTTCACTTATTTTTTCCATTTCTCTTTCCAAATTGCTTCCCAAATCCCCCAATCAAACACAACGTAAATGGTCTATGATGGAATGCCTTTCTTTCTTTATTTTCAACACAGAATTCTTAAAGAACAATGTACCTGAGCCAGTTCTTAAGCATTATGGTGTGTCACTATAATAGTTTCTATTTGCTTTTTGTCTAAGGAGCTGTGGTTGAGAAAGGAAAAAAAGGAAAAAAAACAAAAAAAGGTATAAGACACCAATAAAGTGCCGAAGATGAAACCCACGCACCAGCATCACCACAGTTATGGCAAGACTTCATTTATATATTATGGTAACTTCATTGTAAAATTAAATGTTTTTGACAAATTTTTAATCATTCGTGGGGGTACTGTGATCATCAATGTTTTTGGGTATATGATGCTTTCAAATGCTGTTTGAAATGGAATGGTAAGATTTCTTTCCATGTGATCTTAAAGCATCTTTCTCATTAAAGTAATTGTCAATAGTTTCGTTTTATCTTTAAAGTATTCATTAGACTCTTGCATTAAAAATATGTACCTCTGAAAACATCACTATCTAATTTCTTGTCACACCTTGGAAAATGTTTCTTTTTGAAGTTATTTAAGTTAAATGCGGCTTGTTGGATGGTTTCACCTAACCCTCATCTGTCTTTCTGTTTTTATCTAGTTAGTTTTTAGGCCACCATCTGTTTTTGAGTCATATTATCTACTGTTTTGGAGTGATTTTTTGGCCACGACAATAAAAGAAAGTTTAGCATTTGACCTTTGCTACTACTATCATCTGATAAATACATCTATATTCTGCTATATATCTGTACAATTTTAGCCCCACCTGAAAGTGCCAACCAAAAGGACAGAGTGCACACTGTTACGTTCGGCCACCCTAGCTAAGCATTGTGTCGCCTCAAGTTTTGTACTGTTAGTTAAACCATGATGTGAAAGCAGATAATGTGAAATGGATCATAAACTGCGAATCAAAAAATCAGGTACGGACCAAGTCAATGCTTTCCTTTATTATCATTATTAATGCAAACTTTTTATGATTCGTGTTGGTAAATATATGTGCGTTTTGTTGCTATGGACCGAGATGCTGCCCAAAAATATAATATAACTGGTTTTCATGAATAAATGTACTTTTTGCTGCTCACTAATTAAAGATTTTGATGCTAAGTTTGGTTCCAGATTTCATGAAGGACAGGAAAAGAGAAGGCAAAGGAAATTAACTTTCCTTGTTTTGGTTACAGTGGAAAATATGAAGAAAAAGAAAACTCTACAACTTAATGGTATTATGAATTAATTGCAGAAAGGAACGGTGTGAAAGAATTGATGACACTATCCTCTGGAGTGTATTAGCTTGACTACACAACACAAGATCTGCATCTGATAAGCTTTGCAGACCTTTCCAACAGCTAACTTCTTTCCCTCGCTTGTGGTTGCAAAATTATGTGGTATAGTAAGAAGAATACAAACATCAATTTGTTTTTCATTCATCGGTGTTGACTTACTTTCCAATAAAATTTGAGGCAATTGTCAATTTATTCATATGAAAATGATTCAATGCATTGTTGTCAGCAAATTAGTATTATATTAAATGATTACACAAACAAGTAAGAAACTCATAGCCTCAAGTAATCACACACAAATATGGCAACACTAAAAAGAAAGACCAAAACTAAAGACATGGTTACTTTAATCAAACAACAAAAGATGTCCATTATGGCTACAAAACGTTTGAAGTGATCCAGGGTAAGCCAGTATTCAAACCCACCAAGTTTGAAAATGAGCAATTGAAGCCAAAACAACAGACAAAAAGTTCATGAAGTCAAATGGCTGTGATTATTATTGGTGGACCCAACATGAGATAATCAATATATAAGAGAATAAGGGATTTAGCATTAATCAAGCATTAGGGGTTAAGCCTACATGCATTATTTTTATCATCGAAGTCCCTCAACCAAATTAAGACGGACCTTGGGATTTCTTAATCTGTTGATCATTGGCTATATCTACGCAATCTACAGTGCTGTCTGTTGTCATGCTTATGTCAGTTTATTTCAAACTATGTACATTAGGAGTCTTGATGATGCAACAATCAAGGATGGTGTTTGGAAAACTAGCAAAATTGAGTCTCTACAACTTATATCATTGAGTGGCATGCTGTATAAATCTTTTCAATCTTTTGAATTTTTTGCATATCTTTGTTAAGCATTTGATTGTTCTAGATCTTTACATAGGTGCGCTTATGCAATCATACTATACTTCAAAGCTGTTGCTGGGATCAATTCAACTTCTCACTTTATGCTCAAAGCAATCAGAGGCAGAGCATAAGTAAAAATGATTTTTACATGGTTTGATGTCACTTGTGGAGGATTGTGAAATTTGATTGAAGAATGGTTGTTTTCTTCACAATAACAGAGTAGCTATTTTGCCTATTGCATGGTTAGCTTTCTTGTTATATTAATTAGAGTTTGTTTTGACAGCATGTTACAATAGGCATGCTATTATATTCTTCGCCTAAGTAGCATTAAATTTAATGCTACTTTTTCTTTTGGAATATAGTACATGTTGCAATGCGCATCAGATTGTCATATTCTTATTTATTCTCATTTTATGTAGACAATGCTCCAAATATTTAGTTGTGGCACCACCTTTCTAAACAATGTTCCCATCCATTTTTGTTCTTTATCCTTCGCTATTTTATATTTTTTTGCTGTTATTAACTGTGTGCTTTTCTTCTCCATCCGTACCTCCGCCTGGCCTTCTTGAATTAATCTGTGTGCCATATTTTAATCAGTGCAATGTATGGCTATAATTTTATGGGATGAGATTATTGAATGAAAAATGTTTTGTAGCTCGAAAGTTCCTCCCCCGAATCCCCCAACATTGTTTTGGGCAGTTTATTTTTTTTTAATTTTTTTTTTCTGAAACAGAGGGAGAGAGACGGAGAAACAGAGGAGAGGAGAGAGGGAGAAAGAGAGAGGAGGAGAGGAGAGAAGGGAAACAGAGAGAGAGAGACGGCGGGTGCGACGGTAGGTGTGGCGATGGCGGTGCGAGCAACGGTGGATGTCGATCGCAGATCGCAGCTCGTTGCTCGTGGCAGCTCGTCGGCCGATCGCAGCTCGTCGGCTGATCGTCTCCGCCCTGCCTCTGCCACTGCCTCTGCCTCCGCCTCCGCCTCCGCCCGGTTGATATTGCCCCCTCCAGTCCTTTTTCTTCTTCTTCTTCCTTCTCTTCTTCCTTCTTCCTTCATCTTCTTCATCTCTTGATTTTTGGTTGATTCGGGGGATTCGAGGGCTCCAAATTCAAGCTCCCTAGCACGGCTCTTATTGAATTTACCTATAAAAAATAGCTGAGATGACATTATGATGACATCATAACTTTTTGCCTTGATAGTTGATAGGGAGTGCTGACAGCATTATTTGAGGAATTGTTAGCATTGTTTAGGTGGTGTTTGGGTTGCCTGGACTGAGAAGGAAGTTTCGTGTTTGACCATGTAAAATATAGTTTTAAGTTTTTTTTTGTGTGTGTGTGTGTGTGTGTTAAATTTGAAAGCAGATTCAGCCACAGGTATTTGTTTGAGAACAAATGAAACTGCTGCCTATGAGTTAAATGTTACAGTTACAGTTCTTTGTAGACTAAGTAAAATTGAAGAGAACCTATTGAAGAAAGTTCAAAAGAAATTTCAAGAGAATTTTTTAGGTTGTGTTTGGATCTTGGATTTAGTGAGAGATTTGTGAAGGGAATAGAAAAAAGGGAGGGAAAAATGAATGAAATAGGTACTAATTTTTTTAAATATAAATCTCTTCCCCGTTTATTTGACCTCCACAAATCCAAGATCCTAACATACCCATTGTCAATTGACAATCCTTACAAAGGGTGAACTGATGCTCTACAGGAAGTGACCTTTTGGGATATAAAAATGAAAAATGAAGCTTATAGGCTTACAAGGTCAGATTCAAGTTTCTCCAGAAATTCACCTATATGCAGCTTGGAAAGATTGTCTTCTCATAGTAATGTCAATCTTCAGTGTTATTGGGTGACCTCTAGACAAGCTTAGCAAACAGAGGACAGTGAAGTTGAAATGTTTGGGGAAATCAGATTGCTTTGGCTAGTATTTATGATTTGTTTGTGCACTTGTTTTTTTTGGAAAATTAATCGTGAGCGAATGAATTACTAGAAAACAAATCGTAAAACTTGTCTGACCTGGTGGATTTTGGTAAGATGAATCACTTAGGATAACTAACAGGACACTGAATTTTTAATCAAATTATATGATGCTTATCATTGTCAATGTTTTACTTTGCAGGTCATTTGATGCGAGAGAGACTAGATATAAGACGAGCAAAACATAGGAGAGAAATGGTTGAGCTGCCTATAGGTAGCCAGAATGTATGAAGTCTACATCACTAAGGTTATAAACTACTGATTTTGGTTTTTTATTGATGTCGTCTTACCTTATATATTGAAATTGAGACCTTCATTGAACTAGGAGAGGATCTAAATTCCAAGCAGACCCAAATCCTCATGCCTCATATGAAGTCAGCTTGGACGTACAATTATCCCTCCTCTGTCCAGATTAGAGGCGACATCTGGACCCACATGTCTTCGTGAAGTTGTTTTGACATGGTTTAGTTGATTTTCGAGAGGTATTAACATGGGATTGTTTATCCAACCACTTAAATTATACCACCAAATTGAAGGCCTATTCCTATTTACAAGTAAATGATTCTCTCATTTTATCTCATGTTATATTTTATTCTAATCAATATAGTATGTCTCACACATTTCTCATCCGGTTCATCCTATGATATTATGAATTTAGTTAAATTTATAACAATTATAAACATAGTGTAAGAGCATATTGAACAAATTCTTTAAAACACTCAAATTAGACATTTTAGTTAGCCTGTAGCCCTCCAATAGACTCTTTAGACATTATTTTGCTTTCTACATTGAAAAAGCATAGGAGATTATCCGAACTTTAGAAAAGATTATTGGAGTACATGCTAATTAAAGTGGTAAGGTAAAAAGTCGTTTTGTTAAAAGAAAAATACTAAAAACCTGTATGGCATCACTTCTAAATTGACTCTCGATAACATGAACTGTTACATGTCAATTGTTAATTTGTTTAGAAATTAGGCATTTCAGACCCAATTAGTTGTCAAAAAAATCCCTTCAAACGACTTTCAATTTTCAGAAGTCATGAAAAAAGTAAAAATTATGAAGAAAAAAAAAAATAGGAATGTGTTATACAAGTAAGTATTTTTAGCATTAGTTTTTTTTAGGATATTCTTAATTAATAATTTAATTTTTAATTAACTTTTGAAGAAATCAAACCAAACTAAAGCAAGCCTTAAATTAACTTTCGAAGAAACTTTTAAAAAACTAAAATAAAGAATAGAATTGAAAAGAATGGGGTTGGAGAGTTGCTCTAGGAAGTATATATTTAAAATAATAGGGGTGGCTGGGAATATAAATGACTTTTTTTATATTCAAATCATGACCCTGATTCCACACCATGCTTTTTAGATGCCGTTCAAAATGGTCTCCAATCAACCATCCACAACAACAAAAGCCATCAATCAAGAAAGGACTACCATTTGGTCAGGTCAACAAGTTGGAAGTTTGTTCATCTTTCATCAATCAAATTTGCAAAATTTGTACCTCACAGTCTAATGCTGGAAATTGTTTGGTGTTTGGCATGTTAGGGTAGGAGAAATTTACAATGTGCACCCTTTCAATGGCACACATTGTAAAAAAGTTATGATTTTTTATGATGAATATTATGATTGTTTGTGATATGTGTTATGATATTTTTTAGTAAAGTTATAAATAGCGAATTTATGATTTGCATCCTAAAGTTTGAAATGATAATGTTATGACATTTTGTGATTTTTGTTATGACACTTTGAGATTTTATTATGACATTTTTCAATGAAATTTTTTTTTGACTTTTGTAGAGAAAAAATTATGATATTTTGGGTTTAAGTTATGAAATTTTGTGAAAAAATTATGAAAAACATACTATATGCACTTTTTTGCTGTATTGTTCGATGTTTGTCAAATACGCTGTTATAATATATTTTTATATATTATATTTGTGGAGACCTAATTCAATTTGGTAACAATTAGGACTTGTTTTTTTAAAACTCAAGATTCAATATAATCTAATATATATATTATTTTTGTTGTACACACAAAAGGAGGACCGTGCGGCTGCCCTATAATTTGGTATCCTTTTCTGAAGGTGAGCACCCAACGTTTATGAGCATTGTGGCAAGCACGGCTATGAGGTTTTGATTCGGTGGTGGTGTGTTTTCAGTTGATATTTGGTGACACTCATTTAGATTATTATTTTGGGTCTTTTTCAACTTTCATTCTGAAAATTTTGGTTATTTATTTGGTGAGATCTTTTCTCTTGTTTATTTGTGATTATTTAGAATTCACCTAAGGATGTTTTTTGTGAGACCATTCGTGTCTCGTTTGTAATTGTTTGGAACTTATTTGGTTGATAGTGAAATTGGATTTCGATCCCGTGGACGTACCTCACATTGAGAGAACCACGTAAAAATTCTTGTGTTGCCTTTGATTTAATTTTTCCGCATTAATTTTTATTTCCATTGATTGATTTACTTGTGGAGAATCACATATTTTTCCTAACAGGATATAATGGCCTTGTTTGGCCAAGATTATTTTTTATTTTTTAGATTAAAATTTATAAAGAGATAAAATAAATTAAAATAATTAATAAGATAAAATATTTTGTTTAATTTATAATCATTTCACTATTTAATTATTAAAAAATTTAATTATTTTTTTAAATATAAATATTTTAATTTATTAAAATAATTAAAAATTAAAATAACTTATTAAAATAGTCAACCATACAAAGGAGACCAATAATTCAATAAACAAGTTGGGTGAAAGCGATACAAAGGAGACCAATAATTCAATAAACAAGTTGGGTGAAAGCGATACGAGTGCGTGAAAGTGTAACTAGGGGAAATACGACCAATAATTCTCCAATTATTCCTAGCAATTCTCCCATCTTCTAGTCTTGATCTTAATTTCCTTCCTTCTCTCACTCTCTCTAACGTTTTTGACATCAAGAATGAAGATATAAGAGTGCGTGAAAGTGTAACTAGGGGTCATTTATTCCTTATATAGGCTTGAGTTAATGAGGCTTAATTATAATTAATCAAATGGACATCAATTACTCTAATTTAATCATTCCAAATCGAATTTCAATCAAATCTACCGTAAAATTCTAAAAATTCTAACACACACAGAAATCAAGTCGATTTCGTGATCGGATGCCAATAAGGCCTTTAATTTCCACAGCAGAACGGAAACTCAAATAGATATTTCTACAAGTGACAGATAGAAACACAAATAATGCAATGCACATGTAATTAACTCAGGATTTTATCTTAATTACTTATTAGGCATACTTAGTCATGGTTGTTCAGCTAATCACAGGTTAGGGTTGTTACAGTTTTAACCCACGAAACGAGATTATTTTTATTAATTTCACTTAAACTCAAGTAAAACATTATTCTGAACACTTTTCATGTTTTGAACTTTTCCCAAAAAAAATCATCTTAGGGCAGTTTCTTTTCATTTTCAATTTCAGATTTTTTTTCCGATTGAATTCCGTCTAGGTTCTTCTATTAAGTTTTTCACTCAACCTGTTTAGTTTCTACTAAATTCATCCTCTTTGCCTTTTAGGAAATTTGATTATGTATAACTTTTGTTCTTTGAGTTTTAATCAATTCGAATGATTTAAGCATGAAACGGTACATTTTTATACTTTTCAGTAATTTACTTACGATTAAATTATACTAATAAAAGAATGGGTTAGTGTGAGAAGCTCTACCATCTCTTTAGAAATTCCTAAATTTCTGGGGCTTCAATATCTCGTTGATGATGATGGTATAGTCACTGTCTTCGGAAGGGGTTTCTTCAATGGCTATAGATGAAGCGAGGGTTTCGGTTCTACCTGAGAATTTGGGTTTAGGGCAAGATGAACTGGTGGGTTCCTCGAAGGAGGGTGGATCTTCGTGTAATCCAAACAATGTGAACATGGGGGGTGAAGGTAATCTCAGCCCTAGTACGATATCTTTTGCTATGTCTATAGAGGGTCTATGATCAGAGATTTTAGCTATGGACTCACAGGGTTCTGCTTCAACGTTCGAAAAAATAAGGATTTGAAGTCAGTCCTGTCTACTTCAAATGGGTTTGTCTTCTTTATGTTTGATACAATTGATAGTAGTACTGCTGTTGTAAAGGATGGCCCTTGGTTCATTGGTGGATATTTTATTGTGCTCAAGAAATGGCATAGCATGATGAAATTATCTAAGGACCAACTGGATAAAATACCCATTTGGGTTAAACTATTTAATGTTCTTATGGAGTATTGGGATGATAATGGTCTGAGTAGGATAACTAGTGTTATTGGTGAGCCTCTCTACATGGATAAATTAACTGCTCATGGAGATAGGGTATCATTTGCAAAAGTTTGTGTAGAGATTGGAGTTGATTCCATTTTTCCCACTGATTTCCTTATAAAATGTGAGGGTAAAAGTATTGAGGTGAGGGTGAAGTATCTGTGGAAGCCTGCCAAGTGTACTAAATGTAAGGTATTTGGCCATGCTGATGATAGATGTATCAAAACACAAGTGGAAAATATTGTTCAGAGTTAGAATAGTGATGAGGAATGGAAGACAGTTGTGGCTAAAGGTAAAAGAAAGGTGGGTGAACCCTCAATTGAGGTCACTGATGTAGCAAGGCAAGATGGGAGTCAGGTTGATTGTGGGATTCAAGAGGTCTTAGTTTCTGGTATATTATCAGAGATTGAGATAGCTGCCTCAATTGTGGTCAATGATATTGTAAGGCAACATGGGGGTCAGGTTGTTTATGAGGTACAAGAGGTTCCAGTTACTGGTACATCATCAGAGATTGTGAAAGCTGGGTCTGAGGAGCCCGAACTATAGTTGACCCTTCATAACCTAATCTTAAAATCCAAGCTAATTCTTTAATCTTGGAGGAGGAAGTGGGTGACAGAGTGATGTTGACTCCAAGAATGCTGAGAAGTGCTGTTATACCTGCTGCTCCTAAGGCTACTGGTTCTTCTAGTAGCCGTAGGAAGAAAAAGAGGTAAATCCTGGCTTTATGTGCTATCCCCGTAGTGTTGTGTGTGTGATCTTTTTGTATATATTTCTTTATGTCTACAAAGATTTGTGCTTGGAATGTTAGGGTTCTTAATAATTCTAGTAGGCAAAGAGAAGTTGCTAAGTTTTTGAAGAAAGAGGACATTAATATTGTTGGTTTGCTTGAAACTAAAGTGATTGATAATAATCATGTTAGAATTCTTAACCATGTTTGCATGATTGGGTAAGCTTATCTAACTATGAGCATGCTATTTTGGGGAGGATTTGGGTTTGTTGGAATCCTACTTTTCGTACTATTGATGTCCTGGATAGCTCTGATCAACACATGTGGTGTAAAATTAAAGTTTTAAATGGGGATATTCATTTTTTTGCCTATTTTGTGTATGCTCAAAATACGTATGGCTTGAGGGGGCCTCTATTTAATAAGTTAGAGGTTTTGGCTCAGTTGTATAGGGACTTTCCTTGTATTCTCTTGGGGGATTTCAATGCTATTAGGTTCCTATATGAGAAAGTGAAAGGGGACCATAGTTGGTCGTCTTGTAAAAATGAATTC